TTAAATTAGGACCCGGAGACTGCCAGATGACCCCGCTCGGAGCGCCGCCCACCGGAGAAGCAGTGACGCGATGCGGCGAGGTAAGTAAGAAGAAACCTGACCAGCTCGAGACGCTGACTCGAGTATAAGCCGAGGGGGGCACTTTTCAGCAAAAAAAATGGGCTGAAAAACTCGGCTTATACTCGAGTATATACGGTATTTCACCTTTTTGGATAATTTTTACCTACAAACCAGAGGCACAGCCATGGGGGCAAATTACGCCCCAAGCTATGCCAATCTCACCATGGGGTTCTGGGAGGATCAGTTCATATGGAGCAATAACCCTTTTGCTTCCCACCTAATCTTCTATGGGCGCTACATTGACGACATCGTCATTATATGGGACGGTCCCATTGACTCCCTACAACCATTCGTTTCCCATTGCAACCAGAACAAACTAGGCTTAACATGTGTCCAACTCTGAGAGACTAGTATTCCTAGACTTGGAACTATCCTTCGATGGCAGTACCATCACCACCAGTAACCACACAAAACCCACCAGTGGCAACTCGTATGTACACTTTCACAGCTGCCACCATCCCAGATGGCTCAAAAATATCCCCAAAAGCCAATTCTGCAGATTGAAGCGGAACTGCTCTAATATCACAGACTTCACCACTCAGAGAAAATTGCCAGCCAACACATTCAAAGAAAAAGCCTATCCAGACACACTGGTACACGACGCATACTCTACTTACCTACAGCCCCCTGCACCCAAATCAAACAAACGCCCTGCACCTGTGGCGGAAACGAGATTCATTACCACATTTAACAGTAGCCATAACAAGATTCAACGCATCATTCGCGAGAACTGGCATATTTTAAAGCAGGATCCTAAACTAGGCCCGTTCATTGCATCCAAACCAGCAGTCACCTTTAGAAAGGCACACAATCTCAAAAACAAAATAGCACCAAGTAAGTTATCAGCCGGTAACATTAGAAATACACAACATCAAAAATTCGACAACAGAGTGGAGATCCACCAATGCAAAAAATCCCGCTGTCTCACATGTCAGTTCATCACCCACGGACAATCCACATTCACTGATCATCTCAATAACAGTTACCCTTTCAAACAGTTCATCACATGCTCACATGACCATGTGGTCTATGATTTGAAATGTCCATGTGGCTTATCGTATATTGGACGCACCATCCGTACTCTAAGAAAGAGGATAGGCGAACATAGACGCTTCATTGCTGATGGTGACTGCGATCATAGTGTCCCCAGACACTTTGCGGCTAAACATGGCAAACGGATTCAGGATCTACACGTGTTCGCCATTAACACATTCCTGTTAGTTTTTCTCCAGCCGAGCGATTTCAGAGGTTGTGTAGACAAGAGACTTTTTGGATTTACTGTACAGACTCAACACTCTTGCCCCAACAGGACACAATGAAGAATTAGGAATTTTGACCATTACAAAAAACATCATAAAGCAATGTCCTATATGACCATTCCAAGCGTCAGCACACTGGTACTTGAAACACATCCGTCTCATCCGTCAGTGTCCTCCATGATGATTAAGTGTGTAAAAAAGTGTGTCCCCCACGACGAGCAAGGAACTAAAAGAACGGTCCTTTAATATATATTTTTTATTCATTCTCTTTCAATTTTTTCAATTTTTCCTCCTTTAAACACAATTTTTATTGTTTTTAAATAAAGTAGCCTTTTATTAAAGTACCTTTTTTACAACAACAATAATAACAATTAAAGTGAGCTTTTTCCATTGTTCTCCCCCTTTCCAAACAGTCTGACATGGCCCCAATGCACACTGAGCTTCCAAATACATGCCCTTGTCCAGCAGCCCCGTTCTCAATGTCAAACCGCGGGATTGCCGCTTATTACATTTAGCTCCGCCCACCTGTCACTTTTAAAACCGGCGGATTCCCGCCACCACCTTATCGTTCTACTCGAGCTTGAAAAAGAGGTGATACCTCGAAAAGCGTCGCTCTCCGCTCCCTAACAACCTCCATCCCACCACTGATCTGACCGCCCGCCGCCTGTCAGCTGTTCCCGCATAACCGGCTCCCGTACACTGCTCCAGTCCGATCCGACAGAGACCGAGCACTGACATCCACAGCCGCGGCCACAGCAGCCCAGCCTGCACCCGACACCGCTGGGTCTCCCCCACACTGCCCAGATCCTGCATTCATTTAGCGGCACCACGGACAGAGTCCCCTCTCCTCGTTCACAGCCTCCCTCCCTTCTGTGAACGAACTCCTCCAGGCAGTACACCAGCCGGATTCGGGCACACACCACGGGTGTCCCGATCCTCCACACAGGCTGTCCATCTTCTGGTTCCTGGATCCACATGCAAGTGTCAATACAGTGATTTTCTGCCATGTCTTGTCTCGTTAGCTAGTGCTCCATTGTTTTTGCGCCCTTTGTGTTCCTTTGTCGATCCACAAAAGATTCACAAATCTTTCTTACTTTTTACTTCTTTTGTGATCAACCTTTGTATAATATACCATAACCTGCTTTATTGCTCAGTTTTACCCAACCAATGCCAGTAATGTAAATAGACTACTTTTGTCTTTGTCTGGGCAGCATTTGCCATTTAGGGGCATTAGACACATTAGTGATGATTTTTATATCATCCACCCAGTCATATGCTGTGGCTGAATACAGTTCACAAAGCATTCTCACCACTAGATATTAGCCAAGGAACATAAGAAATTCCTATGCTCCTTGGTCCCAACTAGTTGGGAGAATGTAATTTGCATGGTATCTGAACACCATCTAGCACTAAAGTAGACTTTACATTTATTGTAATATTCACTGACAGTATCTGTTGTCTATTTTTATCATTTTCAATTGTTGATTATTGTTTGGAAGTGTATTTTATAGCCTTGATGAAGGAGGCCACCTTGGAACCGCTGAATAATGTTGACTGGTTTTATCAATCAATCTAAACACGAACATTAAATCATTCTAGACACTACTAAATCATACAACTCTCCTTCTGGCCTTCATTGTAAAGGAGCAGACAGAAAACCAATGCACATTGCATGAGCTTTTGGGAAATACCCATTTTAAAGGTTCAAATCACACTCAGCCATGAGAAAATGAGACAAATATGCACGAAAAATCAACTCTCAGATACATTATGGATTTTTTCCATGTACACACATATGAAAAAAAGAAAATAGCACTGCAGTGCTTCAAACTCAAAAATGATATTCCTAAAATGTGAAAAAAATTGTATAAAATGTGAAATTGTCACAAAGGGATACACAATTTTGTGTCATACACAACACCTGTGTTGCACAATGCCTGTGCTGATGATAAGAATTGTATGCGATTATGCCAATTTAATCATTCCTTAAAAAACAGTTCAAATCCAGTTCAATTTTCAAACCTCTAGGTACCACAGTGTCTAACAAATATATCCACTTTGTTTCTCTTTGAGAGATTTCTCTTTTTAAATTATTCCCTCTCCAGTATTTCATAGCTCTATCAACTCCACAAAATTTTAGACCCGATGGGCCCTTGTTGTGGCACAGTTTGAAATGTTTAGATACACTATGTA